GCTACTTAGAATGCGCAAAGGAGTATTCTATCGTAGATAGAGTGTATGGAACCATAGGTTCTCCACGCAGAGTTTTCACAAAGGTGACCATCATTGAATCGACGGAGAGAGTGTTGAGCTCTCAGCCCTGAAGTCGAGGGATCCAATAGGATGTCACGGAATCGCTGGAAACAACCTGAGGCTCTAGGTGCACTACCCGCGCGTTTTTACTGTTTCTTTTTCGTTGTTTGCGAGCGCCAACATTGTTCTGTCTCTATTTCCGACAAAAATCCATAGTAATTTCGTGTACGTGTTTTCTGTGGAGAACGAATGGTATCTGTTTTAGAGATGTACGGAGTTTTGCTCCTACAAACGTAGACCGAAGTCATGGCTAACTTTGCTATATACCCCTGAGGGGCAAGTCGAATTAGAGGGAACTTAAAAAAGTTGGTGTGAGTGAGCAGTGATCAGATTAAAAGTCGGGATCTATAACTTGTATGAGTTGGAAGAGAAATGTCCCAATATCGTTATCATGTTGGGAGATCCCTTTTTCTATATTACCACGAAATCGCCTGGGCTGATTACCCTATATTTAAGCCTTCCGTCATTATCTGGTTGCATTGGCGGCTGTATGCTCTTCTATCTCTTCAGTTGGGAACGCATAATTTTATAAACTTTTCACAATTGAGATATTTCCATCCTCACAACATTTGTGTGCACATTGAGGATCACTTCAAAGCCATTGTCCCATTGAGGTGCTTTGGCTCTCTGGTACTTCAATATTGTTCACCCTAACTTCAATCAATAGAGTTAAACCTATTTAATATATTCAATTTTTTCAACACGAGTCTTTGTGCATGAAAGAGTCTGCTAGAACTCTTAGTGCTAGGTTCTACTATCACATTTCGGATCGAAGTGATTTATTATACTATATAGGTAATTGCTTATGCTTCTCTGCATAACATCGGGAATTGTTTGGGCTTCTATTGCATGATTCAGATTTCTACGCATAGTTTGCAGATATCGGGCGGTAACATAGGTCATTGACAGGTGTGGTAGATATTCTAGACACTACGGCATTCCCTTCTTGGTCGATCTAAACTGATTCCTTCCACCGTCGCCCATACATATCACAGGTGATAATAATATTAATCTTCACATACATGGATGTTGGGCGCACCCTTACTTACCCCACGGGATACTCCGCGAAAAAATAACCTCCTAAGAAGGACTGTTGAAAGTGCATCTCCCATTGGTTGTAAAGGGTTAATATGGACTCGCACTGTTTGGCCATTCTTTTTTTCCCACCTCCTTTGTCAAGCTAATTGTTTGACCTATATTAAACATCAATTCGTCATATGTCTCTTCCACTCGTGAGTTATGTAGTGATATAACTATAGTTACCAAAAGAATATGGTGTCTTGTAGACTTTATTCGCTAGTTGATCAGAATACCCTTTGTTCTTTATTAAGTGTGATTGTGTAAATCTCTACTCTATTTAGTCGATATGATGTTCTCTCTGATGCTATTGCAGACTCGATGTATTTGAATATCCATAATAGGGCAAAAATCATTATGCTCTCAAATTGATTTTTTGTGTATTACTCTTAGTGGGATATTCATACAATGTGTTTTTCGGTGGGCAATGAGGGGTAGGGTGCTCTACTCGGACGACTGATAAATTGTTGTCTTTTGGGGCAGATAATTATACATGTGGCCTCGGGCGATTATGGATATCATACTAAGCACACTAATATGTATATGTTTTCGAAAGTTTTTGGCATGCTAGGGTTTTTCAAGAATACCTAACTACAATATATGCTGATATGAAGGTTTTCTAAAACTTGGGGTAAAGTAACGTTTGAAGAGTATTGTTTTAAGTGATTTGATATACTATTACTCTTAGTCTCACTATGGTTACGAGCTCATGTTTGTCTGTTAACGTATTCGCTTGCAGGCGCGCTATAGGACCAGACGGCATACAATCGATTCGCCTACATATGGCGTCTGTTGGTCCTCATACTCTACGCTGATTTGTGGCCCACCTCCTCGTTCCGCATCTGCAGTCGAGGCACATCTCTTGTAACATCGCACTTTCCCACTATCACCTGGTGCACTTGCTCTAGTAATCTTGCCTCGAATTGTCGTATGCCTCTAAACATGTTTCATGCCATTCATTCAGCTATGTTGTCAGTTTGAATAGTCTGCACTTTGAATTTCCGAGTGGACGCCAATAAACCATTGATTACTTTTAATTGTCTCCTCCCTCGTCTTTCTATAGGAGATTGTTTTTTTTGATATTATCCACCAGTTGTGACGCTGGTTATGCGTAAAACATTTTATCATGTGTGCAGTTGGTGTACATTGTTCTCGGTACACATAGGGCCTCTGTCACTTCCATGTTATTATTAGGGAGTATATGTGGGCTACGAAATCTATCCGTATGGGTGTCAGCTATTCTTAGTCTACAATAGGAATCATGGTCACTCGTCTGTCCTTTTGGTGTCAGAAAGGTTGAGACGTAAAGAGATAGGTTTACAATTTTGAGTAGCTTGTCCTTCCATTGTGAGGCTAAAGCCCAGAACCCCTTACCATAGTGTTTATATGGTATTAATATTTTCTAGCCTTTTCTCTCAATTAAAGTATATATGCACCGCTAATAAAATAAATATTAAACCACATATTATTAACAATCAAAAAAAACGTGTGCTTATCATTCTTCACATTCTCATTATTGCTTGCTATTACAGAATTATTAGACTCTTGCTCCAACATTATATTTACTTTTTAAATTTAACGGCAATACTGGTATAGCATCATACGACATTGTGTCATTCCATAATTTACCTATATAGTAGACAGTTGCTCTTATGCACAGCAGGTTTGCTATGTTTTGCTAATACAAGGGTTGGCTTTATGATTATCGATGTGCGATATCGACGTTCTTCCCATTGAGGCTCAATCCTTGTTTACATTGGGATGGACGGGATAGCATCCAGTACCATATGTATAATCGAAGTTCCTTTGCGCAAGGACGTCTATATAACGATTGTTATGGTACGATCAAGCGAACCACCACAGTGGATCATTTGCACGCTTTTTAGCCGGTACAGAAGACCGTATGAATTCCTCAGCTCACTGTCCTCTTTTTACCCAGTTCAAAGCGCTTACTGTTTGATGGGGAATGCATTCTTGTTCCACATGAATTGGGTCTCAGTTCAAGCATAAGAGCGTCTCCAGAAGCCTTGATTTCTCAAATGGAGGGTATTTTCTTCTCGTTTAACACTTTCAGGATTGCGCCCCTTGTCGAGCCATAAACGGACTCGATGGAGACCCACACTATCTCGCCAACTTTGGCGATAGGTATCACGTCTATGAACAACATTGTCAATGCTTGACAGTTGTGTGACTTTAAGGACTAATGGGGTTAGTGTATAAATGGTTCGCCACAACGTTGATGTGTCACCAATCCAGGTAAGAGCGTTCCTATCAATTAGACAAAATTTATGCTTATTATAATTGTTTAATTGGATGGACGTGTAGCTTTAGATTGAGCGATAGTGCTTGGAGTACATCTTAGACAGCCTTTCCTTTCACACGCACCATCTAATCGTAGTATCTTCTTATAGCTTTCTTAAGCATCTCAGGCTGGTTCAGCATTTGCAGATAAGCCTCACTCTCCTGGTGCAATTTGTAATGAGGATTATTCCACATGTTGTCAAGTCTGGCAGTTCATGTGTTTCATTATGTAATTGATATGCCATTAAAACAAGGTACTTAATGTAAGTCTTTGGATATCTAGGTAATTTGATTTGTGTATTTTATTTATAACTGGGGTTTGTTTAATATTGTTTTGGACTTTTTAGAAATGGTGATTTCCCATTCCTTTTGTATAGTCTGACTATTACTAGCTAAGTCTATTTGGAATTATAATCTATCGATCTAATATTATATCCGGGTCTTGGTTTCATATATTTGTACGTGGTCTCTTTTGCATGGAGATGGCAGATGCATTTGTAGGGGTTGAGTTAATTTTCAGACTAGATCTAAATAGTGACGCAAGAGAGGAAGGAAAAAAACACTGGTCACGAATCGTTTCTCCTAACATAATTGAACCATTTTTCTTGACATGAATATTGTTAATTAGACTGCGACCGTACACATACTCACAATTTAAGAAATAGAGAACTCAGTCAGCCTTAAATGTTCCTATACCTGGTGAGGCTTCTAGTTAGTTTACCGATTCGTGAGGCTGAGATGTCTAGCATTTCAAAGTATTGTGATTACCTTGTGCTTCACTAGTTTTAATTTTCTTTAACTATTTGGACCTCTATATTAATAATCAACTTATGTGCACCTGTATAATAAAGAATTGAAAGGAATGACCAAGTTAACATTTAGTTAATTAGGCGTAACTTTGAACGAAAGATTGCTTTTGGTTTAGCTCAATAAACAATTTCAACCTTAAAACGATCGAGACTACGGATCTTATCTCGGTTATCCAGTGGATGACCACATAACTCCTTTGACAACCAAGTATCATATAAGCAAGAACAAAATTTAAATTCACAATTGTGAATTTTTTCCCAAAATTTCTAACCCAATGGAAAAGAAAAAGAAAATTTAAATGTTGGGGTTTAAAAGACAAAAGTTGGCAAGCCTGATTCATATTTAAATTCAATAGCCTTCTTGGAACACTGGGGACCGAAAGAAACACTTCGTGGAAATCACGTGCAGCATAGGTTGTCATTGATACATCTCTTACATAGATTAATATGACAAACTAATTAGTTAAGGAATCAACTGTTTACTTATGCACCGGTAGGCTGGCTTCTTGCTGTGGACAGTGTCCTCGAGAAAGTCGAACGGGTAGTATAGAGAGAGTTCGCATGTATTCACCGCTAAATCATTAAATGGAAATACGTATAAATCATAGTTTTGACATAAGCGCACAATTTTATCTAGGAAATTAAACATTGACAAAGGATCCAAAATATTCGAGGGTGGTAAGAATATCTCACTGTGATTTGCGCTTTGATTTCTTCACTAGAGAGTAAAGGCAGTCCATTTGCATCTTTGAGTGAAATGAAAACATCAAGCAGGTCCGCAGGCTCCGTCCTTTTCCCATCTCTCCATTCTTGTAATCTCTCGTTTATAACAGGGTCTTGATACTGCTTGGTAATCTTCAAAGCATCTCTCACCTTTTTCGCATGGCCGCCTATGTCAAACACTCTGAGCCAGGGAAGATAATCCGATACACAGAATGTGTACACATGCAAGAGCATGGTCGAAAGAGCGGATACATGTTCTTCCTCTTCAAAACCAGGCCCTCCATCCTCTCTCCCTTTGCCAAATTACCTTGAGTTGAAAATCATCCTTCTCATGACACCTCCCGAGTAAAATAGGGCTGCAGTTTTCACATTCACTACTGAACCATTTGGATTCACCGAGCACTGATTATATAGGAACTTAACAAGATTATCAGCTTCTTCATTTCTTTTACCAAGTAGCCAGTGAACCCTAGACTGATTGAACACATCAGCAATCAAGACCCTTCTCATTTTCTTCCACTGGCTTCCCCAAGGCGCAACGCCTGTGGTCACGTAGCCACTGCTTAAAATATGGGTGGCCATTGTAACAGGTCTTGATGCAAAAACAGCATCATTTTTCTTCAAAAACTCCCGGGCAATTTCCGGTGATTTCACTGCGATGACATGAACATTTCCTAATTTTACGCAGGCAGCACCTTGGTGCCTATTTACAAGAATAAGGGCGATGTACAAAATTGCATGAACTATAGGGGTATTAAGCTAATGAGTCATACAATGAAGCTCTGGGAGAGAGTCATTGAGCATAGATTGAGGCAAGAGACACGGGTTTCGGACAACCAATTAGGGTTCATGCCAGGGCGCTCAACCATGGAGGCAATCTATCTCTTACGAAAATTGATGGAAAGATATAGAGATGGGAAAAAGGATTTACACATGGTCTTTATAGATTTGGAAAAAGCGTATGATAGGGTCCCGAGAGACATTCTTTGGAGGATTTTAGAGAAGAAAGGAGTACGAGTAGCATATATCCAAGCTATAAAGGATATGTATGAAGGAGCAAAGACTGCCGTAAGAACTCATGAAGGACAAACCGAAAGCTTCCCCATAACTGTAGGATTACATCAAGGCTCTCATCCTTAAGTCCTTACCTTTTTTGCTTTGGTAATGGATGAGTTAACAGGACATATTCAAGATGATATTCCTTGGTGTATGCTTTTCGCAAACGATATAGTGTTGATAGATGAAACTCAGGAAGGGGTAAATGCGAAGCTTAACCTTTGGAGAGAAGTGTTGGAATCTAAAGGTCTTCGCCTAAGCCGATCAAAGACAGAATATATGGAGTGCAAGTTCAGTGCAAATGGAGGCCAAAATGAGTTAGGGGTGAGGATCGGAGATCAGGAAATACCAAAGAGCGAACGTTTTCGCTACCTAGGATCTATCTTGCAAAAGAACGGAGAATTAGATGGAGATCTCAACCATAGAATACAAGCTGGATGGATGAAGTGGAAGAGTGCATCCGGCGTGTTGTGTGATCGTCGTATGCCACTGAAGCTTAAGGGAAAATTCCAATAAGGCCGGCGATGTTGTATGGCACAGAATGTTGGGCGGTGAAGCATCAACACGTACACAAAATGGGTGTAGCGGAGATGAGGATGCTTCGTTGGACGTGTGGGCACACGAGAAAGGATAAGATTAGGAATGAGGATATCCGAGGTAAAGTAGGAGTAGCCGAAATTGAAGGAAAGCTGAGAGAAAATCGGTTACGGTGGTTTGGACATGTGCAAAGAAGGCCTACTGACGCTCCGGTTAGAAGATGCGACTACGAGACAGAGGTTCAGGGCCGAAGGGGTAGAGGAAGACCTAGGAAAACTTTGGAAGAGACTCAAAGAAAAGACTTAGAGTACTTGGATCTAACAGAGGACATGACACAGGATCGAGCACAATGGCGTTCTAAGATTCATATAGTCGACCCCACTCAGTGACTTGGATTTTTTCAAGTCTCCAATCAAGAAGTTTTCCCCACTCTGGAAATTAAGGGAACACTACCTCAACCTACATGCTCCACTCACAAAGCTTCAACATACAAGTTTCAACAAAAGAAAAATTCAAAGAACTTAGCGAAGAAGGCTTTGGTGTATTTAACACAATACGTTGAAATGAAACAAAGCTTATTTATTGATATCTCCAATAAGTTACAAATATGTACATATACATGAGTCAAAATAAACAAACAAAAGGGAGCCTTCACAAAGGTTGCTTAGGAGAAGCCTCAGCAGTCGGTAGAGCCCCAGAAAGAGAAGGCACCGGAGGGAGATCATTCGGAGCCTCAGTACTGGACAACACCCTAGAAGGAGGAGGCATCAGAGGTTGATCATTTGGAGCTTCATTATGCGGTACAGCCCCAGAAGACGAAGGTAATAAATGCCTTTGGAACAGACCCACAAACCTCTGATGATCATGTAAAATCTGACCATCAGATTTCTTCATCTGGTCAAGCTTCCTCTTCATGTTTGTAGCATAATCATGTGTGAGCCGGTGCAACTGTTTATTCTCATGCTTGAGCCCTTTAATCTCCTGTTTGAGACTCATCACTTCAGCCACCAATGATTCAACTTGGCGGGTTCGAGCAAATAGGCGTTGGGCCATATTAGACACAGAACCTGCACACTGAACATTGAGAGCCAGAGAATCCTTAACAGCCAACTCATCATACCGTTTGGAAAGTAGTCTGTTATCTTTGGGAGTGAAAAGGTTCCTGGCCACCACCGCAACGGTCATATCATTCTTTATCACGGAATCCCCAACGGTAAGAGGACCAGTAGGGGATAAGAAGGATGGGCGCCATATGTTGTCTGGAGAAGGCGTGGCTGCCTCTTCAACAAGGTTCAAGTCAAGACGACGGTCGGATGGGCCAGACATTTTCAAAGGTGTTGAAGAGAGAAGAGGTCGGATAAATCAAGATCTTAGAAATGCAAGAAGGGAGCTTCTACTGGTGGAGATTCAAGTGTGCTTTGGAATTTAATACCAGCCTCTATAAAAATCTGCACTCGATGAAGCTTCAGAAATCGAAGAGGCGCTTGCTCAGAAATTGAAAAGGCGTTTGCTTTCTCAAAAGCTGGGCTGCTCAGAGACCACGAGGGCCGATCTCAGGAAAAGAAGAGGCGTTTGCTTTCTCAAAAGCTGGGCTGCTCAAAGACCACGAAGGTCGATCGCAGAAATCGAAGAGGCGCTTGCTTTCTCAAAAGCTGGGCTGCTCAGAGACCACGAGGGCCGATCTCAGAAATCGAAGAGGCACCTGCTTTTTCAGCCTTGTCAGCACCTGTCACAGGCACACTCAACTTTGCGGAAATTACGGGCATTCTGTCGAAGATTTCTGGTGAAGTAGAAAGCACGTGAATGTTACTGTTCAATCATCCACTTTCCACACGCAACATCAGCTCACGGGTACCACAGATAACTTTGCCAAAAATCTCTGACAAAGTTTAGACACGTGAAGCTTGTAGCTCCCATTACATCGCTATGACCAAGAAGGGTAAAAGAATAGCAAAGAAACAGCACTAATAAAGTTTAGACACATAAATTTTGAAGGTCTAGCTACCATATTATTACCCACAAGGGTAAATGAACAGGACCACTGCTGGATAATTGGAAAGTCCCTGTGTGTCAACATCTATGCTCCGTGGCAAGGTAGACTAGCAAACAGGCCTAACCTTTACTCACATTCGAGAAAACACTCCCAACAAGATTGCTTGCTTCAAGATCGAAGAGGCACCGCCCTCCGAATCTCGAGAGCCAGACTCCCAACATGATTACTTTCTCAAAAAGTGACGAGACACTGCTCTCCTAATCTCGAGAGCCAGACTCCTAGCAGGATTGCTTTCTCAAACATCGAAGAGGCACCGTTCTCCGAATCTCGAGAGACAGATCCTCGACAGGATTGCTTTCTCAAACATCGAAGAGGCACCGTTCTCCGAATCTCGAGAGACAGATCCCCGACAGGATTGCTTGTTCGAAAACCGAAGAGGCACCGCTTTCTCAACTTCGAGAACCCCTTAGATAAAGCTTGTTTGTAATCCTCACACCGCTTTCTCAATTTCAAGAGTCAGATCTTCTTGGATAAAGCTTGTCTGTAATCTTCACACGTAACATCAGCTTTCCAGATACCACAGACCACTTTTTCAAAGTGCTCTGACAGAGTTAAAACACGTGAAGCTAGCAGCTCCCACTACCGTGCTATGACCAAACAGGGTAAAGGAATAACATTACTCTTTGTTGTTAGGGAGACTCCTATATATGTCGACCTCTATCCTCAACGGATAGGCAGACCTGTAAAAATGCCCAACCCTTCCTCATATCTAACATGGCACTCCCAACGAAGCCTCTCGAAATACTCAGCTTTCTTTCCCCCTGAGAATACCTCTGCAAACAAGCTACACCAGAGCAAGAATATCTCATATAATCAGGGTTAAAAGCAAGAGTATCCCATATCATGCTTTTTCCCTGTTTTTTCCTTTGGCCTTGTTCTTACCTGCAAGACAAGGAGAAAGAGAGCAATCAGTCAGCACTTAGAATCAAGCTTTCAGTCCGGAACTGACTGCCTAGAACCCCTTACCTGATTACTTACTGACATTGCTCTCAAGTACTCATCTTCAACATCTTATGCTTCCCGAGAAGATACCACATCTGCCTGAGGAACAAATAGGGCAAGTGAGAAGGATACAAGGAAGCATGTGGAGACAAGCGCAACAGAACACGTGCCGATACATCCACTACTTTGTCAACAGCAAAAGTATTCCATATCAGCAGGGTCGAACGTACTCTAGATTTGATGGACTTGTTTTGACCCTCAAATTCTTCAGTCGGCCTTATACTCTGGCGGAAACCAGAAAACCCTCCAGCCCAGTTCAAGAATAAGCCTGTGGAAAGTTACTTCTTCAAAAGCAAAAGTGTCTCATATCACCTTTTCTCCTTTTCTTCTCTTTATCCTTCATGCTGCCTGCAAGATAAGGAGAAGGATAACAATCAGCCAGAACTCGAAATCAAACTTCTGATCTGGGACTGATTGCTTAGAGCTCTGATTGCTTACCTTGTTTATCACCTCTTTCAGCAGATCCCCTAGCTCGGCGACTTGGGAGACTCCTACTACATGGTTTGTATCGCGCTTGACCAAGCCTGAAACTACAAGCAAGCGTCAAGTGAAATTGATATATTACCTTGTGTATCTCCACCAATGAAAGATACCACCCCTGGAGGGAGGAAGAGTACTTCCAAAGAAGATGTCACATCTACCTATGAGACAGATAAGGCAAGTGAAGACGATACCACACTTCGGTACTTAAAAATTTCGTGATTACGAGATCATTCTCTCATAATATTTCCTAATGTCATTTGTACCAAATCATTCACTTGTACTCACTAAAGGAGAGCTTGAACCTATGTACTGTGTAAACCATTCACAATTAATGAGAACTCCTTTACTCCGTGGACGTAGCCAATCTGGGTGAACCACGTACATCTTGTGTTTGCTTCCTGTCTCTATCCATTTACATACTTATCCACACTAATGACCGGAGCAATCTAGC